AAGCAGCAAAAGCTATTTTGAGGGTGAATTAAGTAAGCAACCAGCATTTTATGAACTACAGCCTTAGCAAAAACTACACTCAAAATAAACCTGGGGTATTTTCAAACATAAAAACTATAGCAACTCATTTTTTTCCAAGTAGGGTCCATGGACCAAATGCTTTTAAATAAATGATTTAGGCAGGTTTGTTTAAAAATGCAGCCTTTTGGGCCTCAACTCTGACCCACTAAATCTCCATCTCTCAGGGTAGGGCCAAGAAACTAGAATTTTTTTTTCTAACCAGCATATCTAGGTAATTCTAAGATAATTGATAAGAACCAAACTAATAGGGAAGCAGTAATAAAAATCCTACATTATCTCATGGAATGGCATGGATCAACAGTGATCTAAACCACAGAAGGGGAACCCCAAATTTCAGGCAGAAAGGAGGGGGACACCTGGGTGACTCAGCTGTTGAGCATCTGCCTTTGACTCAGGAGCCCTCATGAAGCTCCCTGCAGGGAGCCTGCTTCTCCCTCTGCTTGTGTCCCTGCCTCTGTGTGTCTCAAGAATAAATAAAATCTAAAAAATAAAACAAAAAGTAAGGAGGTATGGGCTACAGGAAAGCAGCATGTCTGTCCCTTACCACCTTAGCTAGAGGTTTCTGAAGACCATAGGAGGATTAGAAGTTAATCAATAGCTACCACTCAAGAGGTGTGTTTTCTATGTATATGTGATTATTAATTAAATGTATTCTATGCTTATGTTGACACCCTGTAAAAATGTATGATGAGGAGTTTGGACCCCCTTAATTCCTTGGTCATCTTCAGGAAGTCCTCGACCAAAGTGCACAAAAACATCCCCACTAGTGTCACAGATAGATGCCAGGACTGAGAACCAGACCAAGTAGCCAGACTCCACTGCCTAAAATGGGCCTGTTGTACAGAGGGCTTGGCAAAGTACTACCAGTGGCAAATAGTACAGGCCCAAACTCCAAGCAGAAGAGTCAGCAAGCACTCGTGTCTACCACCTGTTGCTCTTTCTATAAGACAAGTGGGAGAACAAACTGGTAGGTAGGGACAAGCAGCCTGGAGCAGGCACCTGTTTGGGAATGCCAGCTGGTGGTAAAGATAGGTTTGGCTGTAGTCCCTCGCATGTAGGGAAGTAAAGCCACTTATCCTGTGGAAAGTTGAGTTGTGATGTAGCCCCTCCCTGAGGATTGGGGTCAGCCTCTGCTCCCAGCTAACTCATCACTGGAGACAAAGCAAGAAGCAACTCCTCCTTCCTACTTTGGGCCATTCATTGGTCTGTCACATTCTGCAGAGCGAAGTCCAATAAATTAACTCTTATAGAATGCTGTCTCAACAAGAAATTATTCTTTAAAAAAATATTTTATTTATTTATTTGAAAGAGAATAAGAGAGAGCAAGTGCATGCGAGTGGAAGGAGTAGCAGAGGGAAAGGGAGAAGCAGACTCCCACTGAACCAGGAGCCCAACTTGGGGCTCCATCCCAGAACCCTGGGATCACACCTGAGCCAAAGGCAGATACTTAATTGAGCCATCCAGGTGCCCCTCCACAAGAAATAATTCTATCTCAACATATTCAAAAGTATATGCATGTGCTTACACACACACACACACACACATACACACACACTGTATTTATAATATAGCCTATAGTCTAATTTCCTAAAATTTCTCCTTTGTTGTTGTTGGGTTTTGAATTGATGAAGCTGACAGGAGATCTAGCCTTCATTGTCCAAACTTAAGATGTGGCCAGTTGTTCCAGCAACAGGAAGAAGCTTGACCCCAAGGTCAGGCAACCAAAATGAGTCTTGGGCTCTACACTTCACTGCGCCCAGCCTCAAAGCTATAGCCAAGGGACTTCGCTGGCTCCTATTGCTCAGTTTCCTCCTCTGGAAGTGGGGATGATGGGACGGGTGATAACCATTAATTAATGTTTGTGAAGCATTTTGAGATCCACTGATGAAAGGGACAAAGTATTTTTCTCAGCACGGGCCAACACACACTTGGTACCAATCCAGCTAAAGCATGCTGAGTTAATTACCTGGAAGACTTGAAACTGTTGTCTCAAATATGTTCCCCCCTTTCCCGCCCTAGGCATATTAGCACCTGTTGTGCTTTACTGTGAGTCACCAAGAGAACACAGCAGACAGATTGGGTCAAAAGACAGGATTGTGGTTCAGAGACTTGGTTTTTTCTGAGATAACTATGCAAGGAGCCACAAAATATCCGCATGCCTAGTGTCTGATAACGTGGGGTTTATATGGGCAACCCACAGCCATCAAACATATTATTTCAAATAATGAAGAAAAACCAAGATGTCCAATTGCCCAAAAATATATAGTTGCATACATTCATTCTTTTACTTAACCCAAACATGATTTGGTTACTCACTTTAAAACAGGCCTTAAAAGTCCAGACCAAGTATGAATTCAATACAAAAAAACACAACTTCGCTTCCCAAGAAAACACAATATTTCTAACCCTTTCATTAGACTGTTAAAATATCCTACCAGAGCTGGAGGACAAGCAACACCAGAAATGGAACAGTGGGACAAGGAAAACCAACAAAAACCAAGCCTAAACAACAACAAAAAAAAAATTTAAGAGGTCCGGGTTAATGGATAAAGCGTAGGCATCACCTTTCAGACTTGCAGTAAGTCAAATCACTGGGACCTCTCCAATTAATTTGGTCAGAGAGCACAATTTTAAGTTGAAACATTTTACTGAAAACACTCAACCAGTTCAAACAGTACTTCGGCTTCGCCTGACAGAAGGGGGGGTAGGGGGGAGAAAGACAGATATCTCTAAATCATTAGTTGGGGGAGTGGTGGTCAGAGAAGGCTGGCTTTTTTTTTTAAGATTTTATTTATTCATGAGAGACACAGAGAGGCAGAGATACAGGCAGAGGGAGAGGGAGAAGCAAGCCCCATGCAGGGGGCCCGATGTGGGACTCGATCCCAGGACCCCAGGATCAGGCCCTGGGCCGAAGGCAGGCGCTTAACCGCTAAGCCACCCAGGGATCCCCGAGAAGGCTGGTTTTGGACTACCAAGCAGAGAAAGCCCCACACGGCCCACAGCCTAGGGCAGGGGTTTTATTTTATTTTATTTTATTTTATTTTATTTTATTTTATTTTATTTATTTTTTTTAGGGCAGGGGTTTTAAAAAACCCAACACCAAATCAGTATCACCTGAAGCTTGTGAGGGATGCAAATGATGAGGCCCACTCCAGACCTACTAAGTCAGAAACTCAGAGGAGTGAGAGGGCCCTGCAGGTGATTGTGATCTGAAGGTAACTCTTTTTATTGTAACCTGCTAAGGTTTAGAATCGTGTTTGAGAATCGTGGATTCGTAATTGCAAAACTGGTCTCTCCCGGAATGAGAATGAAAAATATCACTTGGCTGATATAAGTCACTGGAAAACTACTAAAGGGAGAGATATAAGTCAAGCCAACTGATTCTGAGTTGTGGGCTTGATGTTTCAGGAGTTTGATTATTTAGTGCACAGAATGTATAGTAAACGAGGGGGGTGTTCTTTTTTGTTGCTGGAACCACTCTCCCATTGGCCTATTAAAAAAAATTGGATGGGCAGCCCCGGTGGCGCAGCGGTTTGGCACCACCTGCAACCTGGGGGTGTGATCCTGGAGACTCGGGATCGAGTCCCACGTCGGGCTCCCTGCGTGGAGCCTGCTTCTCCCTCTGCCTGTGTCTCTGCCTCTCTCTGTGTGTCTCTCCTGAATAAATACATAAAATCTTAAAAAAAAAAATAGGAGCACCTGGGTGACTCAGTTGGTTTAGCATCTGCCTTCGGCTCAGGTCATGATCTCAGGGTCCTGAGATAGAGTCCTGGCATCGAGCTCCCTGCTCAGTGGAGAGTCTGCTTCTCCCTCTCCCTCTGCTGCTCCCCATGCTTGTGCTCTCTTGTGCACTCTCTCTCTCTCTCAAATAAATAAAATATTTTTAAAAAAATCAAAATAAAAATGTGTTACCATTTAAGACAAAGACCTTTAGCTGTCCACCAAAATACCTTCTCTCCTCACTTGGGTGCGGAGCATCTCCCAACCTCTCTTGCAAATAGGTGTGGCATGTGACTGAGCTCTCTCCCTGGGCATTTTTTTTTTCAAGATTTTTTTTTTTAATTTATTCAGAGAGAGAGAGAGAGAGAGGCAGAAACACAGGCAGAGGGAGAAGCATCTCCCTGGGAATTTTAACAAAAGTGATGTGTGCCGCATCCAGATGTGACCCATACACACTATCCAAGTGCACTTCTCCATGCTCTTTCCCCATTCAGCTTGGCTGACCCACACATTTAAGATGCCAAAGCAGCCGTGAACCTTGATTTGTGAATCACAGCACGAAGTTGGGGCTTCCTTAGACCTGAAATCCCAGCCTAAACCTTATATGAGAGAGCAACTTCTTCTTCTTTTTTTTTTTTTTTTTCTCTGCAGGACTGAATTTTAGAGATCTGTTTTCTAACCTCAGTTTACACGCCCTAAGTACTATACTGAAAAAAAAGAAAATAATATACCGCTACTCGGTATCAATAGATACCCCCAACTAATACCAAACATGATTATGTCCTCATATTTTTAAAAAGTATATTCTGAAAGTTTGATACTCTTATCAATCCTTCCCCAGAACACACACACATCGACACACATACACACAAAAGAAAAGGAACAGAAATAGAAAAACAGTAAAGAGAATTTAAATACTGCAGGACTTAACTTTAAACTCATGCATATTCACATTTACCTTGATAAAACAAGACACCAAATTCAGGCTAACATATTACTTTACTTTAACAGTTATGACATAAAAACAACCCTGCGAAGAACAGAGTGTTATATCAGGGGCTTCTGTCTCTACTTTTGTAGAAGAGAGACAGAAAACCAGCTATGATGATCCTACACTATTGGCCTGATACTTATTCATCTAATTTCAATGCACCAGCAGTTAAAACAGCAAATTAAGTTTGTTTGGCAGAACTGTTTACCTGAAGCTCCAGCTCCTATGATATTCCTGCCTACTGAATGCATTCACGTTGTCTTTGTACCGGAGACTGTTTCCTCTCGTTCTCATTCAGGTCTAAGAGTGATTTGCTGGGTGAACTCAGCGAAGTCCCTTCACGTACCTATGACGTCAAGCACTCCTAAAAGGGAGAAATATTATTGGCCGCTGAGCCCTGTGATTCAGATGTTAGTAACATGACTGATGGCACGAGTTCTGGGTTCCTTGGAATAGTAGGGTTCTTGACAGAGAGGAGTCTGAACATCACAAAGATAAGGCGGGTCAATGTTGACCAGTCTCCCCTTGCAAGAACAGCACCCCACTTCACAAAGTTAACTGCCCTGGGACAACAGCAGACCCTTACAAAGGCAGGGAATTCTGGTGGCATCGAGGTTAGATTTGTATTTTGGCTCCCACAGTTAGTGCTCCATAGCCCTGAAAGTTCCTTAATTTCTCAGGGACCTTGACGTTCTTACCTAAAAAAACCAAATACTTCTTCCCCCCACCCCAACTTAAATCCTTCAGAGGCTCAACATCACCTTCAAGAAGTGAAACGTTTTCCCAGCAGTAAGTAAGCAAGACTCATTAGGATCTGAACCAACTGCCTTTCCATCCCATCAACCCTTTGTCACCTTCAGGCACCAGGCTAAGCACTTCTTGCCTCCGGGATATGCAACGCTCCACTGAGCTGCATCTGGGCCTCCGCCCTGTCAATCTGAGACTATTCCTATGTTTAAAAAAAAAAAAAAAAAGCATGAAAACCTCAGCACCTCCTCAGCAAGGCACTCACAAATGCCTCTGGGCACTCGGTTCCTTTGCTTCTGTGCTATCATCACAATGGGCACACACCTTCTCCTTAAAAGTTATTACCCTCAACTACAATTATTTATAATTACTTTGTTTGTTTATTTAGCTTTTTAACCACAAGAGGTGTCAACTCCTGGAAAGCAAAGTCCTTGCGCCACCTTAATTAAGGGATTTGCACTGACTGCTCCTCTAACCTGGAACATACTTCCTGGAGAAGACACATGTGCCTCACTCCCTACTTGCTTCCCATCTTTACTCAAATGTCAGCTTCTCCAGGAGGCCTCATCTGAGCTCCCCATTTAAAGGTCAGCCCAGGGGCCAGGGGTGCCTGGGTGGCTCAGTCAGTTAAGCATCCGCCTTCAGTTTAGGTCATGATCCCAGAGACTGGGATTGAGCCCCCCCACCCTCCACTCATGCTCTCTCTAGCTCTCTCACTCACTCTCTCTCTCTCATGAACTTGCTCTCTGTCTCCAAAATAAATAAGATCTTTAAAAATAATAATAAATAAATAAAAAAAGGAGTAGCCTGACCTTCCTTATTCCTTGAGCTCCTCAACCAGACCCCTCAACTTTTTGTTTTTTCCATTTCTTCTTTTTCTTTTTCCCACCCCATTTTTTCCCTTTCAATTGACATCTTTTCAAATGCAACATAATTGACTTATTAATCATTTTGTTTACGGATTATGGTTCATCTCCTTATCTAAAATGTAGGCCTTGTGAGAGTATGGATCTTTGACGTTTACTGATAAATTTAGAAGCCTCTAGAACTGTGCCTGGCACATAAACAGTGTTGAGGAACTGTTCGTTGCCCAGGTGAATGAGTGAATGTTTAGATGCCAAAGGGCCTAAAAGTTCAATGACCATTGAATGATTAAATGAAGGACTAAATGCCTGCTCTGAAGTTGTGTTCCAGCATAAAAAAGAAAGAGAATCAAATTAAATCAATCGGAAGAAGAACTTAGACCCTACTTTGTTTCCTTTCTCTTTTCCTTGAGGGAGGCATGGGCAAAGAGCATGTACTTCCCACAGACAGAACTGGGTTCAAATCCCAGCCAGGACACTTCGGTGTTCTCCAGCCTCTCCTGATCCTGAGTAACCTCAGTGTACAATGGGTTCGAGAATAACATCCTCTTCTTAGGGCTGTTGTTCAGAACCCAGGATGTGGCACGTTGAATGTACTTGGAAGACAGTACTGCTACTATGATTGTATGCTCAGTAATGAAGGGCTCTTATACACACTTGACTCCCCAAAGACTACCATGGAGAACCAGAAGCCTGAGACCAACTTATAAAGCCTCGCTCCCTGCTCCCTGAAGTTGGACTTGTATCTCTAGAGATCACCTGGCACCTAGACACGCTGGGTAGTGGAGAAGGAGGGTGGTCAGAGGCATTTCTTTACCATCTACTTCCTACAGGGCTTTTTCCTTTCATTGAACAAACTCCATCCCAAACAACAATTCATCAAAAACCCAAATCATGAGGCTTCCTTCTAAAGCACACAATCAGACTAAAATCTAAAATCCTCTAGTTTTACGCAGGCTGTGATGCCCATTTATTCGTTTTTTCTTTCACTCATGCCTTCAGCAAAACCTCAAACAGTACATATAGATGCTGACCTCTGTGCTAAGCACTGGGTATCTATCAGTGGGTAAACTGGACAAGGCACCTGCCCCTAGAGCTCACAATCACATGGGCAGAGTGGGTAATAGAAGAGCGTACACATAAAGAATCACAAGCTGTGATGATAGATGCTCTAAAGGATATGAGCAAGGTGTGGTGGAGGTAATGACAGACGGAGAGGTTGGACCTAATTAAAATCAGGCGGAGGAAGGGAAGTTACCTTTAATATTGAGCAATGTAGCATATAATAGGTGGCTAGATTTGCAGTTGGCTACTCCATACCAGTCTCTCTGCTTCTCAGTCAGATTGCAAGCTTTTCAATGGCAACAAAGGATCTTAAACTATATCGGTAAATCCCAGACCCACCTGGTCACCATTGCACGTACCTTACGTTAAATAGCTTTACCTCGTTGGCTTTTACCGACCTTCGGTGTGTTTGGGAGAGAATGAGAAAATGAGACTCCTGACATCTGTATTTTTATGAATGCTACGAATTTTTAAATATGGTATCACATCTGATGGATTTTCTTTACAACCTCTTAATTATTATAGATGAGTTTAGCTTTTCTTTAAAAAAAAAGATGTTATGTATTTATTCATGAGAGACTAGAGAGAGAGAGAGAGAGAGAGAGGCAGAGACACAGGCAGAGGGAGAAGCAGGCTCCATGCAGGGAGCCTGATGTGGGACTCGATCCTGGGACTCCCGGATCACCACTGAGCCACCCAGGCATCCCAAATTTTGGTTTTCATACTGAAATTAGAGCCATCATTTATCTGACTTTCCTGATTGCGGTTCATTTTTAAAAGTATTACAGAGATTGAACAGGGAAGAAGAGACTCCAAAAGAAATATAAAACTTGTAAGCTTCAAGGAAACTGACCTTAAATGCAGCTGACATAATAAAATAAAGTACTTTTCTGTGACTATCACCACTTTATATAACAGATAAACTTGCATTTAGAGTTGATGCTTTATGAAAAGAGACAGGGATCTTGGCATGCTCTGACCATGTTTTTAGAATGAGTTTCCATAAAAAGAAAGGAACAAAGCCCAAGAAATAGTACAATATGACCACTGGCGTATTCCTTCTGTTTTTCGCCCCTAAGAATAAAGGCAAAGACAATGGGGATCCGCTGGAAAGAAAAACTGCCTCGCACTGTTCATTCATGAGTTTTCAGCTGTAATTAAACATCTAATGCTCCAGATGGCTAAGTATTCAAAATTAGTACATTTCCGCTCTGCTGAAACAGTTTATTTTAAAATGTTCAAAATACTATCCAGTGGTGCTTAACAACTGAGCAAGGGAATCTTCCATTAACTCTGAAAGGTAGATTAGAAAATATGCCTCATGGACAAATTCATGATTCAATAATGCCTTTTTTGTCATCTCCTTCTTTTTTTCTGTTGACATAGATAGTGAAGAGTCTTAAAAATTAGATGTGATGTGTGCTTGTCTAGCATATAAGTCCCATCCTGCTTTAAGATATTATCCCTCATCTTTGCCCGACAAGAATGCAACCCGTCGCTCTCTAGAAGCAGAGTGTACCTCCTTGCCTCTCGACTTTGGGTCTGGTTATGTGATTTGTTTTAGCCATTGGCCTGTGGGCAGAAGTGACAGCGTGCCAGGGCTAGACCTAGGCTTCTAGAGTGTCATGTATCTCTCTGATCGCACTCTCATGCCTCTTCAATGACCATGAAAAGGATCTCTCCCTAAGTAGCTGATGCCCCTCCACCCTGTGCCCAAAGCTGAATATACATACAACAAAACTGAACACAAGCCATATCAAAAAGTCAAGCCCAGCCAGACCCTCAGCTGGATGCACAGTTGCCTGGCTGAGGGCAACCCACATCAGCAGAAGACACACAAGTGGGAAGACATGACTGTTCAGTCACTGAGTTTTGGAGTACTTTGTCAGACAGCAAGAGCCATCTGATACACTATGTCATTGTCCCATTCTCTGAGATTGTTGGAGGAAGGAAGCTAGAGGGAGAGAGATTGCGGGCCACCTAAAAGAAATAGCAAAAGTGATCATTTTAAGCATATTTGTTTTAGTCTCCCCCCTGCCAACTGATTTTAGACTTCTCAGGTCCGTAAAAACCATTCTTCCTGGACACATCAGGGAGTAGCCACTCAGAATTCTATAGACTTGATTTTATTAAAAATTCTCAGGTGAAAGTATCAGTAGGACTCTTTCCTAGAACAATGACCCACAGTTTGACACTTTTCTCTTCCCTGCAAATCCATTTCAGGCCCAGTACTGAACAGAGAGATGCTTTTAAGTTTCCACTAAATGAAAATTTGATTATGTGTCTGAGCACCATGGTTGTTTTATCAAAGATGTATTCATTATATCATATGCCATGTTTCCACTGGACACTTTCCATAAACGAGTTCACTGAATAGTTATAACAATATTGCAAGATAGGCTGTTGTCGCTCAAATTGTGAATGGATTCAGAAATGTTAAATAATATACACAGCTAGGTAGTTAGGATTCATGCCAGGAGCATCTGATTCTAAATTTGAACCCCCAATACGTTCCAAGAAATGAAATTGTTAACAAAATGATTTACATTTTTAGTATGTATTGAAATACAGATGGGCACCTGGGTGGCTCAGTCGGTGAAGCGTCTGCC